CCCGCTACCAAACCCTTGCCACGCAAACGCACTACACGTATAAACACACAGCCGTCTGCTCAGAGACCACAGTTACTATGTAAGTGCGCACGCCAATCTCCCCGAGGTGGCCGGGGTTACTTTCCAGCTGGCACGCTGCCCACCATGCTCGGCCAGACCCCGGACGGTGCTTCTGAGCAAGAATCTGCCGCAAGCAGCCATAGCTACTCGGGCCACGAGTGTCCCCCCAGCAGCTCTGGATATTAAGAGATACCGGAAACACCGGCGGCGGCAAAAAAGCAACAGAAACCAGCTCGCTACTTTGCCTGAACCAATTAGGCACTTAATTACATCAGGAGACGTTAATATAATGCCCGCCCACTCATGACAGCGCTGGCACCACCACACGCCAACTTCTTCAAGCTTGCACCAAGAAATCCACCAAAGAGACACCCCGGCAGGACGCAGGCATCATCCTCCTCGAACAACTGCCCTCACGGCCAGCCAGAGCTATGCCAGCACCCCGAGCTACGTGAGACGCGCACAGTTACCGGCGACACCAAGGTGCCCAAGGCCAATTTGCACCTCTTAGAGCAAGAGACGGATGGTGAGGGCTCAGCTGTTCCCTCCGCAGGGGTTACAGCAGCACGAACTGAACGGCCGCGGGTGTTACCCGGTCCCCGAGCGCTCCTGGCCGCCGGTGAGACGCGGGACTGAGGCTTACCTTGTCTTTTCAGCGAGGAGGCGACAGCCGGCTTCTTCAGGCCGCTTCTCCGGGGGTTGGTGTGAGCTGGGTCTTGAGCCAGGAGAGGGCTGGTCGCCTGCGCCCCTGAGGGATCGTTTGTGAGAGCGTCAGTGCACAAGCGCCGGGGTCCGCGGGCACCCCTGCCATGGGGAGGGTGGCTGGGGTGGAGAAATTGCCTCTTTCCTTAGGGCAAGCTGTCACCACAGCTCCTCCCGGCTTAACACTGCTAACCATCCCTAACAGACCCGCTTGGGCTTGCGGCGGGCGCCCGTGGCACCTGCCGGCACCCAGAGCTGCTCCCAAAGCTCCCACCGGCACCAGGCACGGTGCACATCCGGGAGGGCTGACCCTCTCGTGGTCATGCCGACTGGGCGAGGGCTTTCGGCTTCAGACCACGTTGCCCCATCCCCCAGAGCCTCCAGCAGACACTCACCGGGCGTTACGTCCTTTTTCCTCTTCCTGGGCTTGGCAGCTGCCGCCTCCCCAGCCTGCCCCGTGGATTCGGGGCCGCTGAGCAACTGCGGGACTGCGATCCCTTTCAGACCTAGGAGAAACAAGACTCTGTCCTTAGAAGCATCTCAACCATGCGCAACAGCGCTGCAGGGATGTGGGTGTCTCCCCACGCTGGCCCTTCCGCCCGCCCCAAGACCTCCTGGCACACCCCAAACGTCCTCAGAGGAACCCCAGAGCCCTCCCTCCTATCGGGAGGACTCACTCCCCACAAAGCTCACTGCTTGCGGAGGGAGGGGGCAGCAAATCAAGCCCCAGCTGTCGCAGTGTCGACGGGGAGCAGGTGCCAGGGTGGGAGTGGCAGAGAGGGGAGCGGGTGGCATCAGCCCAACACGGCCCCTCGATGCTCACACCTACCGCCCGTGTCATAGGCGAGGAAGTCAGCGAACTCCTGCGCCAGGCTCTCGTCGCTGGCGAAGGCGCAGATGCAGGCGAAGAAGTGAATGCAGCGTGGCGGCGCCGCCTCCTCCTCGACCGGGCCGCCCTTGCCGGGTTTTGGAGTCTGGCAGGAGCAGGAGAACCTGTGGTCCGCCAGCGTCTTTGCGCTCATCTTCTGGGCGAAGGAGGCGTGCAGGTAGCCGAGGCTGTGCTTCTGGCTGGCCTTGCACTTCACCACCAGGATGTTCTTGGTGATCCGCTGCACCAGTGGCCCTGTGGGCTCGGTCGCCAGCTGCCATATGGTCTGTTTGGTTTCGGGCGAAGCCTGCATGGAGTTGAGCACCGAGCTTTTCAGGGTGAGCGGGGTGGCCTCGGTCTGGCAGTTCAAGGCCAGTTTCACGTGCTGGCACTGGTTCTCCACCACGCCTTGCGTGGCCGCTTTCAGACACGATGGCACGTAGCACCGGCCAGAGCTGAGCTGCGTGATGATGGTCCCATCCACCGTCTGGATGGCCGTCTCCGAGACCCCCAGCTCCACAAAACACCGGGAATCCGGTCCCCGGTCCCTCTGTCGCACCGAATAAACCTGTAAGTCAGAGCCGGTGATGATCTTGACGGCGTCAACGCTGGGCTGCTTGCGTGTGCCGCAGCGGAAGACAGTCCCGCAGTTCTTGTTCTTGCAGCTCAGGCCTCGGGTGCCGTTGTATGTGCCACAGCGGGGACATTTCCGGATGCCCCGGAGCGTGGCCTTCCCCAGGTCAGACAAGAAAGAGGGGACTTTGGTCCTCACTGATGCCGGCTCCATCCTCCGGGGAACCTGGAAGGGCAGAGATCAGGGTGGGGGGTGAGTCAGCAGCTTGGGGAGGCGGACGGGATGGGAGGGACAGCGGGGACGCGGCGCTCCGCTGGCGTCACGTACAGGTCCCGTCCTCAGTCCCCAGCAGCGGCAGAGACACAGGGGAGAAAGGGGTTGGGGGGGAAGCGACTGACCCGTGTGTGACGCGACACACGACGGCAGGGTGCCCCTCTTCACAGAGTGACAAAGTGCCACCCCTGCAAGCACCGGATCCTGACGCCTCCCACCCCCGCTATTTCCCACTCTCGGCTGTGCAGAAGGAAAATGAGGCTAAAAAGAGAGCTTTTGATGCACGCACGCTCGTGGCACAAGCCACGGCTTCACCCCCCCGGAGGTAAATAAAATTAAGTACAGGGTGCGGGACGTAAACAAAGCTGGGTGGCCTGCCCATCACCGCACGGGGACACGGGGGGACGCACGGAGCCCCCCAGCACTTGCTGAGCATGCCGGGGCCACTCTGAGCAACACCAAAGCGGAAACGAGGGTCCAAGGCCACGACCCTCGGGCAGAAAACCCCGTGCGAAGGCGACAGATACGAGTAGATTCCTCGACCCCGTGGGAGAGCCCCTGCCTCTGCCCGGTGCGCCCTGCCGCGACCAAAACCCCCTGTCCGGGGCAAAACCAGGCAACCGCGCTAAGGGCCACGCGCGGCCATGGCTTCAAGGCCAGCCTTCGCGCCCGGCGAGGGCAGCGGGCGAGAGGAAGACTCTGCGCAGCGGGGAAGGGGATGGTGGCTGTCGCTGCTTGGAGCTGCGACGCGGAGACATCGGCACCGAGCACCTT